CTTTATTGGAAGAAATTGTTAGGTGGAAAAAATTGTTCAGAGATAATTTTTTTCATTATAGACTGATGCAGGTCAGTTCAGTTTCTCTGCAACTTGCTCTTAATTATGCCTTCTATTCGGAGGTCTGCAAATTAACCAATTATTAACTATTCTGGCATACTTCAAAATTCTGTTTTATTTTCATGCATTTAACGGTTTGCTCTTCAAGAATTTCTCAAACCTATTTTTATTTTACCTGCTGTAGCTTAGACCCTTTTTTACCAGTGTCAAAAAAAAATGGATTGCTGATGGATATTTTTCTTTAATAATCTTGTCTCTTTCTACTTAGTTAATACTTTTTTTTGTTATTTTGCTTTTTTTTTTTTTTTGTTTAAAGGATTATTTATCTTCAGTCCCCTAGGCTTCATGAGTTTCCATACCAAATGCTGTGGTTTAAATGAGCTCATATTTACCCCAGGGACATTTTGATGAGCTTTGTACCTGTCTCAGAAGCCTCCTTTAAAAGTGGCAACTTTTATGTGGTCTGCCTTGAGAGTTCTTCCCCATGATCAGGGCTGAATGCTGACTGAGACCTCTGGCAGTGCAAAGAGTAACTCAGGAAATATCAGTGAAAACCCATATTCTGAGAGACACAATTAGGGAGAAGCCATTGTCAGCTGCAGCACAGATGAGCAATATCTGTGAAATGTTTCCTGGGCTCCGATTTCTTAGGATCTTGGAGCAGTCTTTCAAGGATCAGGGAGGTTGAACTCACCACCAACCAAATGTCCTTGGAGTTGTTATATTTGTTTCATGACATCTCATTACCTCTGACCTTATTGAATGTAGTACATTCAGTGTAACTTTCCTGAAGAGGCTCTCGATACCATGAGAGTAAGTAGAGAGCACAAACTGGTGCTTCTTTGGTCATCTGTTCCTGAGGACTTTATGTCATTGGGCTCAATGGATGCTGCCACAAGTGGCTCTTTGCCCCTCTCCATTATCTAGGCAGTCTCACTGCATATTCCTAAAATATTCACCTATGTTTCAATTACTTATTACCTATTCTGCATTTTCGGGCTCATATTTTATGTATGTATACATATATAAAAGCAAATGTGCCCAACAAATGCATAAAATAATATTTTGTACTGTTAACCATAACCATGTATTTCTTTAGCATGGTCTGTTATTTCTCTAGGGTTTAGTTCCATGGTATCAAAGTTTTATTTTCTAGCTCAGCTCTCATTTTCCTTCCTATTTTATATTAGACACAGATATGTCTTTCACATTATTGTTATTCTTAGCACATAGGCCTTAGATTTGGGCAGTTTACTGTTCCTGCAGTTCTTCTTAGGCAATGGTGTCAATTATCCATTTCATATAGTTCTTATCTTTTCCAAAAAAGCTTTTCCTGTTTTACAAACTCTTCCTTTTTACTTCTTTCTGAATAATTTTATTAGTAACTACACAGTTTTTGTATGTTAAAAAGGTGACTAAAGAAACAGACATTCACTAAAGGTGGCTTATGAACTCTGAACTGTTATGAGGTTGATAAGTGACTCCTGCAGATAACTGCACCATTATACCACATCTCTCACTGACAGTGGAAAGAATTCCATTTACATACAGAGAAGTGTATATACACTTATATACATAGAGACGTGTATATGTTTTACTCATACATTCATATATGAAAACAAATGCAATATTTCATTCACAGAAAAAAAATGCAGAGAAAAGCCCCTCTCATTATCATAGTTTTGTTTGTTTGTTTGTTTGTTTGAATAGAGATAACAGGCAAAAATGAACCACAGCGGGAAGAATGAAAAAAAAAAGAATGAAAGTAATAAGGTCAGATTCCTTCTATAGATCTACAGGTGTAGATTTACGGGCGTGTGGAAAAATATAGCAAGAAAATAGTTTGAGTAGGAACAAATGATACCAGAAAGATGTTTTTATTCTATTTATTTCTAGTTATACCAGAAATAATTTTCATTAAGATTTAAGCTTGTGTGGCTATAAAGACTTTTTTTTGTTTAATTCTAATAGTCAAATTGTTCTGTGTTCATGAGCTAGGGCAAGAGGGACATTACCCTGTGCAGTAAAAAACTGGTCTATGTAGTTCCAGTGTGCACAAACTGAATAGAAACAGTATAAATAGAAAAGCACCTTTGTCATTGGGGACATAAGGATGTGGAAACACTATAATGCTGAATAAACAGGACCAGAAGTTTCACATCTAGCCCAGCTATTTCCAAAAGCTGCTGCATTATAAAGATAGAAAAGAAGGCTTATCTGTGGCCTTCATCACAAGCTCTAGTATAATTACTGAGCTTAATTTAAATTTAAAAACAAGTTATGAAAACATATCCTTTGTTATCTTTGAACTTTATTAAAACTATTATATTAAATGGTAGAAATCAATTTTTCTTTTGTGAATTAAACTACCGTTTCTCAGAATACGTTTTAGACCTATTGAAATCTTCTGGTATGTAACTTTTGAAACTCAGAATTTACCTTTGTTGTTAAATAGCTCCTCTGTGTTGCAGCTACTAAAATATGCTGCTCTTCCTATTTTGCCTGAACTATAGACAAGGGTGAATCAGCTCTAGCATTTACTTTGCTATGAGTTTGTATTATTTTCTTCTATTTCCTATGTACATCTGCAAACCTTCCAAAAATACACTGACATTTGATTCCCAGATATCAATAACAGCTTGTATTCTCATCTCTTAAAGATGGGTTGATTTTGCTTTGTAGTATTTCTTTCAAAATAAAAGCTCCTCTCAGTTAAAAGGATCATTTAAAGGGTCATTTAAAGAATTGCCTAAGAATCATCTTCATCCATGTCAACTTTTAAGTATATTTGCCTTGAGGGTCTTTCATCTGTCTTTATGGAGCATTAATCGTGAGCATATCTTGTGGAAGAAGATTACTGCTTACAGTGTGAGCCTGCACTGGCTTGCTTACTATGATTATTGTGAAAGTATTTACTTCAAATTTGTATATTGTACTTTGTTTCACTATTTCATAACTGCAAGGTTTATGTTATGAGTCTAGCAGGAGGAACATTATGGTGTATTTTGATTATGCCCCAGAAAGTGTGCAGTATCATGTAGTTGTAATAAACATGCATGTAGTTGTAATAAACAAGTATGGGTTTGATCCACTCCATTTAATTCCTCAAATGATAGGATTCCTGAAATCCAGGCGTAACATAGATTGATCTCCATGTGTGGAATAGAAGCAGTTGCTGAAGCAGTTTCTTATTTGCTGGTCAGATTCTGGAGGGAATTTCCTCAGGATATATGTAGTATTATACTACACACCAACTAGATTTAAAGCTCAAGGGGAAGCTGTAATTAGTTTTAAGTTCCCACATGAATTTATTGCAGGATGGAGGTCAGAGTGCTCCTGTATTCTTTCGATAACTGTTATTTACATCAGCATGGTACTTGCACAGAGCCACAGGCACAGGTTATGAGACCCAGATAAGGCATTACTAGGAACTCGTGCCCTCTTTTCTGCCTTTACACCCAGCCATCTTTCAGCAGCTTTTTTTTCCACACAGGATTTGCACATTTCTTCCCTCACACCGATAACACTATCTCCTGACATTTTCATTTTCGTCTCTTCATTTTTTTCTTTCCACCTTTTTTATTTCTGTCCTTCCCCAGTCATTGTCTTCTCTCACCCAAAGGGAAAAAGAGGAATGTTGTGGCCTGCAGCAAGGTACCTTCCTTACATGGTTCCATTTCTGTCCCTGTTTTTGTTTTTCTGTATAGATTTCATAAGAAAGGGGATCTGCAGGGCTTTTCTTGTTTTGTTCTTTTTTTTTTTTTTTTTTTTTTCCTGTCCACAGAAGACAGTAAAATGTTGTCCACTGATGACTGAAGTGAGTAAAAGCCTGTTCAGAGAGGTTAGTTGATAACAGCATGGAGTTATTGCTCTTTCTATGTACACACAGCTTAAACTGCTGTTCACAACAGTGAGGGTTTCATATGACTTTGTTGAAGCCCCAGATGGGGGTTCACTCCCTTCCAAAGGATGGAGCAGATTCAAAATAACTAAGTTTTTGAAGTATCTGTATGTTTGGACACCTATTTCACACATCTTAAAGTAACTATTTTTCAGGTCACCGAACAGCTACCTCTGGGTTTTCTGTATGTGTCTGTATGTGTTTTCCTTCAAGGCTTCCTCAGCGGCAGCAGCAGGATGTGTGTGCAGTCCCGGTGCTGAGCTCTGTTCACGGTGCTGGGAGGTAGTTACTGACGTGGTGGCTACGCTAGGAGCTGTCTAGAAATTCCATTCACCGGGATGTCTTGACCCTGTTGCAAATCACAGAGTATTCCCAGCTAAGGAATATAACCTCTGTCCTTGCAAACTGCTGGAAGGCTTCAGCGTGGCTGCCAACACGTTAGCAAGCCTGGCCTGCTTTGGGAGATGCCAGACATGCCAGGAAGCAGCTGCATTCCTCCAGCTGCGGCCTAACTAGCACCAAGGAAGCTCCCTCCATGTCACTGGGCCCAAGTGCCAGGCAGCAGTTCCAGGTACATTTAATTTAGTAACATAAACGGAGCTTGGCAAAGCTCGTTTGGCCTGGGGCCTGAGGTGGCTCTTTGCAGTTATTCCTCACTGCAGTGGAGCTTCCAGGCTCCAAACCTAGAGCAGTATGAAAACCCTCACAGCGCCTGTAAGAGCCGAGCCAGAGCTGACGGCCGTGACGCTAGAACCAGAACTAAGGCGCATGACTGGACCCGGCCTATCTCCACGTGGCAATGCGGCATTCCAGGTGCACGGAGCTTCCCAGTGCTGAGGTAACAATGGCTTGAGTGTAGGGTCATTTCAATTCTCTAAACATAATTCAAACCTTAAATCAAAAATATGAAACCCCAGGAGCATCGTTTGGATTTAGACTTTCACAAATGCTTGGTCTTTATTCATTTTATGCACACGTAGTATAAAAACAAAACAAAGACAGATGTAGTGTCAGTCCTTAATTCCTAGCTCTCTGCTAGAAAAAACTTTTTTTTTTTTTTTTAAATAATGTGATATAGTAGCCAGAGTTGCAAATAAAGCATATATAAATAATTCTTAGTGTGTCCCTCACTATTAAAAAAAAACAAAAAACAAGCAATAAGTTAGTCTTTCTTAACATTTAGTGCTTAGTTCCAAAACTGGTTTATATCTAGAGAATTTTATTCCTGAGACCACATAAATGAACCTGCACCCTTCTCACAATCACAGATACAATAGGAAATAAAATGGACTAGCTGATGTGAGAGAGAGAACTATTTATAAAGTGATCAAAGCCTAAGCAAAGGCAACGAGGCATTTGCATTTTGAATCTGTATTCACAGAATTCTTTGATTCCTGGAGATTTTGCATGGGATACAAATTAGCAAGAGTTACTAGATGTTCTACACTTTTGAAACTCTAGTGTTTATTTAGTAGACACAGAACCAGGAATTCAGAAATCTAGCTTTCATGGTGCTAATTAAAAGCCAAAAAAAGTCTATGTGTTCTGGATATCAGCTCTTATTACTGTAGTTGTTAGTACATACTTACCCCGTCTTGCTTTTTGCTTTCCAGCTATGCTGCTTTTCAAGCCGTTTCCTAACTGTATAAGGCCTTGCATATCCAGGCTTGAAATATTAATTTTAATTGTTAATTTTAATGTCATGGTCTAATTTATCCTTATTCACTATGCCACCCCTTTAAAAGTATTTTAATTGATTTAAAAGGTAGAAATTATTAAAATTACAGACTTTTTAAAGTTTACCTGAGTGTTATGTTAATACTATTTTCTGTCCTTTTAATTAAGATTTGGTTTTGCACACAATCGGAGGCAGCTGCTGACATTTATTTAGTCCCTGTTTGTAGCATTTCCTTCTGGAGATCCAGTGGAGTTTCACTCCAGAGGAGAGAGTTCCAATCCATGAATATAAAAGTAATTTACCAGAAGATGTTATTTTCTACTCCGATTAAATTGCTCTGCTGTAAACAAAAGCTTTCAGTAAACGCTACAGAAGGAGAGAGATCCAACTGACAAATAGGGAGACAAATGCACTTACCCTGCAGGCAAAATCCTAGCTAGCTGAGATAAATAAGCTCATCATGTGAGCAACCTCATTGCAGTACGTTGTGGAAAAAAATCTGAAATTCAACTTTATAGGGCTATTCTGAAATATGTATGTTTCATCTATGAGATCAGGAAGAAATAGAGTCAGGATGGGATTTACACATTACTGAAACGCAGGTCTGATATTTAGAATATTTGAAAACCAGGTCTCCTTTGAGTCAGGTCTCAAAGTTCTTAGCAATCTGGATGGAAAAAAAATTCTGCTATGAAAAAAGTGTGTGCCAAGGCCTCTTCAGCTGATGGTACAGAAAAACTAGAGTTAAACTGCAGGGCTACAAAGATCCCACAGACTTGGAACAAAATCAAAAGAGAAAGTAGGATATATAGGATATATACAAGTCATTAGACTTGTATATGGTGGAACAAATTCATCTTACCTATTAGTTGGGCACTCAATCCACTGAAACTTTGTCTCTTGTTAAGATCATTACAAGTTAAAGCATCTGTTTTAAGGATCCCTTTCAAATAGTCAATGCTTCACAACAAAGACACTCATTTTTGCTGGCATTAATTCAAACTAATTCCAGTTAAAGGAGAAAGCTGACAACTATTTAATTAATTTCACAGTAGTTCTATAATCTCAGTGCTATTTCACCTCATGGTGCAGTGTTTTATTGCAAGTTCTGCATCTTGAAATACATACATTTTAAAGAAACTCAAACAAAAGACACAATGACTATCTGTGAGAAAGTTGTTGGCATTAAGGGATAGGTTTCCAATTTCACTAAAAGGAAGGACGACTACTTTCATTCCATGGGTACTGAGACCTTGTCTCCAACTACACTTAACAAAAGCATCTTAATAAATTTTAGAACCAAACACCAGGAGAAGCTAATCTTACAATAGAGAGAAGTTCTCTGCTGTTGAAATTTGCAGTTTTCTAATTTGTTAAAAAAAAAAATGCTGGTCCACATAGAAAGTAAAATGGGAAACTGTAAGTGTAAGCTGAGCAAAGACTGTCCTTTTCATTCAGTTCCAGTTGTAGCGGTCTCTTGGAGGTAAATCATAATGTGTCCTCTCTTCCTCTTCGGGTCCATAATCTAATGGCAAGCCATAATTGTAATCAACCGTTACAACTGGTAGCCTTTTGCCCTGTTCCACCTCTCTTGCAGTTTCACCTTGAAAAGGTTTTCTTTCATAGTCTATTGAACTCTCTTCCTGGTGCACAGATGAAGCTGGATGCATTGAATGTGAAGAATATGGTGCAAATCTGTTTTTCCCTCTATTAAATTCATCTGAAGGATGCATTCTCCTAGTGTCTTCTGGACAACTTGGTCGATTACTGTAATGAGAACAAATATTAGCAATTAAATCCATGGAAAATTAGTTGATTTATTACCATTAGAAACCAAATTTGTAAAACTTTAAAAGAACAGAGATTCAGTTCATCAGCTTTATTTTTTTGCATCCTATAACTGCTGTCTTCTAGATATTACAGCCTTATTTGTATTTATTTTTACTTGCTAGTGATTAAAGTTACAATTCTTTACGTTATGTAATTCTACTAGAAACTGCTTTCTTCCAAGAGTTGTTTCTAATTAAAGTTCCCTATTTACCAAGACTTTCTTTACCTAGGGATCATTTCTGCTCCCAAGCCCATGTTTTCATTCCTGCGAAGGATACGCACTAGTCGCTGTCTGCTACACAGTGCAGTAAAGGTGAGTAAACCAACTTATGAAACCTGGTATTTACCTGTAACTTCTGCTAAAGTCCTCATTATCAGGCCCATAATCTCTGTGAAGTGAAGGGGATGAGGAGAAATGAGATTGTGATACATTTTCATGAGATGAAAAAGACTGACTTCTGAAAATAATGAAAAGAGTCACATGTTAAGAAGAGTATACCTGTTCGCAGACTTTTAAAAACCATAAATATGCTAATTATGAGATGAAAAACTTTTAAATTAATCATTAAAATTTTAATACTAAAAGTTGAACGTTAGTGTAATACCTCAAAATAGTTAAGCCTCAGTATAATGATATAATATTTCAACTGTATGAAATGAATTAAATCAGACTTTACTAGCCTAGTTTCTGAAACACCTTGTTGTTTTCTGAATTACAGAAAATATCTTGAAAGTTAATATTGGAAACTACTACTGCTACTAAGTCCAAAAAGTTTGCTAATAAGCAATATAAATATTTTGGAGAATATGAAAAGCTAGTTCAAAAAGGAAAGGATTTTTAACAAGTGATTAATTTATACAATAAATAAGTGAAATTCAAACTTCCATGTAGCATTACTGTTTATCACAGTTTGCCCTCCCCTATCTTGAAGGTTGCTTTTAAAATGTAAGTTTCTCTGCACAACAAAGCAGGACAAAGGGTATGTTTCAAGGTAATGCTAAAGAGGTAAAGAAAAAAACATATGCTTAAATTAAAAACTCAACCTTCTAAACAACAAATGCTGTCTGTGGCAATACAGGTCAAATCCTTCCATAATCAGAATTTAAAAAGTTAATTGATCATTCAGACATGATCTGAAAAATAAATTTATTTCAAATTAATATATTCAAGAAGAGTAATCCTCAGCAGTTCTAAGTTAAACTTCAAATTTGAAGCTTATCTTCTTGTAAGACTTACAAATGCTAAGGATTACACTTTTATTCTCTTAACTCTCATCTTAGAGCCCAAGGATACTTTACCTGTCTGAACACCATTCATGTGGCAAGCCATCATGAGCTGGATGATTATGAAAAGATCTCAGCCTTTGTCCATGCCCTTTATTTGCGTAATCAAAATCTTTTAATGGAGTCTGTTCCTGTAAGTCATCATAAGATTCTTGGTCATGGAAAGATCTGTGTCTTGGTCCAGGACCCTTATTATCATAATCTTTTAGTTGCATCTCTGTTTGTAAGTCACTGCAAGGTTGGTGATCATGAAAAGGTCTCAATCTCTGGCCACGGCCCCGGTTTACAAATTCAAAATCTCCCACTTGCATCTGGGGCTGTAAATCATCATGGGGCTGATAGTCGTGCAAGGGTCTCAGTCTTTGACCAGGGCCTTTGTTGACAAAATCTACCTCTTTTAACTGCATCTGGTTCTGAAATTCATTGTGAGACTGGTGGTCATGGAAGGGTCTTCGCCTCTGACCACGGCCCCTGCTACCAAAATCATAATCCTTTGATTGCACATCTTCCTGCAAATCACTTTGAGGTGGGTGGTCAGGAAAAGATCTCTGCCTTTGTCCTCGGCCCCTGTTAAATTCAAAGTCCCTTGACTGTCTCTCTGCCTGTAAATCATCATGAAACTGGTGACCATGAAAAGGTCTCAGTCGTTGTCCAGGGCCCTTGTTACTGAATTCTGAGTCCTTGAGCTGCAGGTCTTCTTGGTAATCATCATAAAGCTGGTGATTGGGAAAGGGTCTGCGCCTCTGTCCGGGTCCCCTATTGTAGTCCCAATTCCTCATCTGCATTGGTGCTCGTAAATCATCCTGAGACTGGTGATCATGAAATGGTCTTCGTCTTTGTCCAGGTCCCTTATTAATGAAATCAAAATCTCTCAACTGTATCTGTCCTTGCAAATCACTGTGTGAGTGGTCATCATAAATTCTTAATCTTTTTCCAGGCCTGTAAAGAATTTTCCATCATAAATAGACCATCTATACTTCTAAGTGTCACATGTTATTAATAAAAACAAGCTTCTTTAACTAAGAATTGAAAGACATCGTAAGTAAAATATATGGGTATCAAAGAACCCAAAGATTCCCCTAAGATTACAAAGTTTTCAAAAAGTGGCACAGTAGAAACTGTGTCAAACATTAAATTGTAATTCCACAATCACAATATCGGTTTAAAAAAATGGCTAAACTTAAATGATACTCAAGTAAAAAAAAAAAAAAAAAAAAAGAAACTACTCTAGAGGAATATGAGTGAAGTATAGCAAAATAAAGAACCTTTGAACTGTAGAATTTTCTACAGTGAATCTAAGAGCAGACATTCTTTTATCTTTTCACTGCTGTGTTAAATTTTGTAGATATATTTTGCATGAGTAGTCTATACTCATAAAAATTCTTTTAAGCTAAATATTTAGAGCACTTTCAGTGGTTCAAAACATCTCCAATGCACTCAAAATCAGCTGATTCTTTTGTAACATTATAGCAAATATAGTATAGTTTCATAGTATAAATAATAGCATGCTGTAAGAAACATCTTTCCCACTATGGGTTTTTTTTTGTTTGGTTGGTTTTTTTGCTTCTAGTATCATGTTTCGGCCTATTACCCTTGAAAATCTTCATCTGGGAACCGTTCTGTAGGTCCTTCCACTGCATGTGGCGGGGGAATAATATCTTCTTCTGAATCCCACACATCCATTCCAAGGTTACTAGGCAGAATAAAAACATTTCCCGTAAACTTCCTTTTTAAACATACTAATGAAAGAAAAAGGAAATTCTGAGAATGGCAGTTGAACTTATAGATGCTCCTAATTATCCTAGCAAATTTTCATTTTGTAAATTTATTTGAGATGGGCAGAGGGAAGAAAAGCATATACTTCAACTTCTTAAGCTGAAACATATGAGACAAGCACCATACCTATACAGAAATCTGCTACTGGACTAACTTGACCACTTGACTATAAAAATAGTACCAGTAAAAATAGTACTAGTAAAACAAGACCAAAGGGCATTAAATTAAAAATATCCAGTCAGGTATTATTTTTAAATTAATTTACTATTAGATACCACTGGTGCAAATAACTTACTAGGAAGTAAATGCTAGCTATTCCTAGGTACATTACAGTGTGAGTAAGAGAAACAAAATTCTTATGCATCAGGTATAGAACTAGTACCAACAGAGGAGTTCAGAAAAGTCTTCTACTCTGGGCAATTTACCTCATACATTTTTATTTGTAAAACAGTTGTACTTTCTTTTAAAGTATCTGGTTCTATCTTGCTAAAATCAGTGGACCACAGAGTTTATTATGAGATTCAATGGGAATACTGATTGACTAAATGCACTTGGGAAAGTATGATATAGCAACACCAGTGCTCAGGAGTAAAATCAGTTAGATATCCATATATATTCAAAAGATAAACAGAAGAAAGTCTATTTCACTTCATGTTACTCATATCAGAAGTCTTAACAAAATATGTACATTTGCATATCAGAAGTTTAAGAGAGGGTTAAGCTGGAAGTAAACTTCTCAATACTGGTGGCTATTCTGGAAAATTTCAGGCAGAAAACTAAAAGCCTTTTACCTTCTCATCGGTTGTGTTCTGAGATCTGTGAGATAGACGAGACCATCCATGTGATGACCTCTAGCATCACCAAAAGCTAAAGAAGAAAAGAGAGGAGTCTAATGAAATGTGCTTAAACTGAGCCACAGAAATCTGCTCAGGCAGAATCTGAGGCAGAATCAGGTAGAAATCTGCCTGAGCAGATGAGGATCTCATCTTGAGATCCTGAAGTGTACTCAATTCTAATTCAGTACTAAACAGTGTGGCAATCTGATATCATTGCAGCAAGTTTGCTGAGGAAGCTGCTTACAACATTAAAAGCAAAAAAAAAAAAAAAAAGTCTTCTACTATGGTGCCTAATTGATAGTACTCAAACTTAGCCTGGAATAGATGGAATAGAATCAATAATCAGAGAAAATCTTCTATGACAGTTCGCATGTGAAAACTCTGGGAACACTATAAGAAAATTATTTTGTTCATTATCACGCAGATATTTATCTTAAACTGTGTAAGATACCTTCAATTGCTGCCTCTGGATCCCAACCTTCAACATCAATAAGATACCTGAAGAAAAATATAACCAAATTATTGTCCTAAGTGGTTTATAGATTAATATAAGGACATTATCTTTGTGAACAATAATTTCCAATTTCATGTACCCCTTACCTACATATAAGGTAGCCAGTTCTGTTAATTCCGTTCGTACAGTGAACACCAATGAGCTTCTCTATGAAAAAAAGAACACAAGCTTTAATAGTTCAGAAAGTGAAATTATTATGCAATTAGTGCAAAACAGCTAAAGAAGTACTTTTCTACTAATGCCGTGTTAAATAATGTTAGCTATTCACAAAATCATACTGTTACACCTGTGAAAGAACAGACACCTCCAGACTTTGTCCACTACACATTGGACGTCTGGCAGCAATGAACTCATTACTTCCAAGCCTGCCAAGATTGAGATTTACTCTCAAGAATTCAATAAAAAGGAAGAGGAATGAGGAGAAAAGGAATGAAGAAGAGAAATCCTATACTAAAACATCTGTAAAGAAATGGCGGCTATGACATCAAAGTGATGGGACACCTGAGCTGCCTAGGGGAGAGATATGAGAGCCTCATCTGCTACCAAGTATTCCAAGTGAGAGGGATGTGGACAGCTGATTTCATCTTTGTGTAACATTACTTAGAGGGTGGAGTTCAGATTCAACAGGGGAGCCTTCTCCAGCAAAATTAAAGAATCATCACTACAAAAACACCTAATTACAACAACAAAAGATAATATTCTGTGGCTCTGAAATGCATTTAAAAATTACCAGTAACTGAAGGATAGTTTCCTCATTTGCAGGTGCCTTGACACAAAACACACGTGTAAGTGTAGCACTGTGAGGAAGTGCATTCAAGTAACTCGTGGCATATTTGAAAAATACGTATTTAAAATGCAAAGAGAACTGGTAGTTCGCATAGTTATGATAAACTGGATATTGGCATGGAAAGTTTGAGATCTCTGATGTTGAAAAATGAGTGTCTGCTGCAAATAAATCATACAGTTACCCTTGAAATAAAGTTTTTGTCTTTTACAGCACAAGATGCTGATAATTACCATTTCCTGCATTTTCCCACAGAAATTTTCTGACCCATTTTTTGAACTGTAGGATAGTAGCATTATCAGGTACTTCAAGTCCAACAGTGTAAAGTTTCTTATACTGCACACTTTTAGGTAAATCCTAGCAACAAGAAGGAAAAAAGTTGTAAAAATTATTGAAGCCTTGCATCAACAGAAAAGCCTTAAACAGTATTTAAAACAATGTCAATATAAAATACTTCAAATCCTGAGCAGAAACCCAAAGTGCAGCACCTTAATGAAAGACACCATGGATTCCTGGCTCCCATCCATAGTCATAAACTCATGTATTTTCCCTGCTTAGTTCTTAATGTCCATGTACATGCCAGGATCAACATTCAGCTACAACATTCCAATATATTCTCCTTTTCAACGCATTAAGATTGATGTAACGGATTAAATTAAGATTAAAGTAACAAACTTTAAGTGAAGAAAGTAATTGGAAATTGTCCACTCTTCAGAAAGGATTCCATTGCAGAGAATAAAGGAACGATTTTTAAAAAGACCTTGGCATAAATAAGAATATTTCCAGGGCACAGACTGTAGTCTCCTGCATCTTTTCCTGCAGTGCCTGGCACCCTCACCTTGGTGTATTAGTCTCAGTTACCATAATGCAAATAAGATACAGATGCAACTAGCTGTTCTTTCCTCTGTGAGGAAATTTTGTTTCTGCTAGAGACAAATAATAAGCCTAGCTATCTCATTTGTTTGTTGCAATTCAGGGTGAGGAAAAATGAAACAAAAAATGTCAGTAATGGTTTTATGTTGCTATTATTTTTTATTACCTTAACTTCATAGTATCGTGTGGTATATGTTAAATCAATAATTAAGCCAAGCTCCACATTTAGAGCTTTCATTGCAGCAATCAGGTCTTTTGGTGTGAATTTCTGAGTTGGAGTAAGCCTCTGGTTAATTGCCTATAACAGAAATAGAAAAGAATGACTTTCTTTAAGAGTTCTCTTAACACATTTGTAAGATTCAGCTTTTTTCATCATTACAAGGAAAAAGGCAAGGTTTACAGTATCAGAACCATGTATGCCCAGTCTAAGAGCCTTTTGACACAGGCCCAGGCACAACCAACAGAGCCAGTACTGAAACAGATGCAGCAACATTATTCACTCCTTTTCATCTCTCAGGTCCTTTGTCAATAGAAATTCAAGTAGACTGGACTCACAACTAATGAGAAAGAAGGCAGCCACACACCATAACCTGAGTGTATAATATAAAAAGTGTCTGGTGGCTGGTATCCTTTAATGAGTGTTTGATTTCTGTAAAATTATGTTTTGGATTGTATGGCATAGATTGCTATTCATATCACAATCCCTTCCACAGTAATAATCAGGCTTTTCTTACATCAGACATGAAAAGATGTTAAATAAGATGATAAGTCTGGGTCATTTAAAGGTGATTAAATGCATGATTTGTAAATGATAAATAAAAATTATTCTGATACCAATTATAAACTTTACAAGAAGAGGAGACAGATTTATAGAACAATGTTTATAAAGCACACTGTAGATGTGTGTAGATGACTAGAAGGGTTAATCTGAAATTTTAAATAAAATACATTATTTTTTTCATAAAGCCTTCCTGAAGATTGCATGGATAATAATACCATATTTTTGCACTACATTTAGTAGAGCTTATGCACAGGCATTTTTCATACATACCCCTTTTAAAGGTACTTTGAATGCAATAAATCTAGTTCCTGGTATTGGCTGTCCAACCGGTGTCAAGCTCCGCCATCTGTAATGAAAAAAAAAATTATTTTTACATGTTTTCAAATTGTGTAATTCCACAGAATTTTAACAGAACAGAACCTATAACTCCATGCAACTTCTAAAATAAAGATTCTTCCTCAGTTTTCCTGTTTTCTACGATGGACCATGGAGCTAATGGCATAAGATATTATGATTCAAATATCCAAAACCCAGGATCCAATGGTTCCTAAGTTCCTTAGATACCTAACAAGCAAACATAACTGACCTGCATCAGAGTTTGAAAGCCTTACCAATTAAATATGCATACCTGAGCAAAATCTTTTGAAAAGATTTTCCTCTTTAGCAGCCTGCTTGCTTCACCAAGAAATTACGAAAGAACTTTTAAAAAACGCTATAAAAACATTTGTTATGAAACACATATGAATAAAATTAATAGATTAGCATTTTACTGGGATGAAAGAAACAGGGAGAGAGTTCTCAAAAAGAATCTACAGGAAAATAAAAAACTTTGGTGAAGGAAGCAAGTTACATATGTAACATAACTTACATAAAAATATTCTTATTGTCTGCAAGTCTAAAAGGAGCCATAATAAAATGCTAAGCTTACTTCCCTTAAAAACACACAGCTTCTAGTTTTTGTTTTTATTTTGCAAAATGCCTTTTATTGCTGACTGCACTTACTCTTGGCACTTTGAGAAACAGAGGCTATTCCACTGAACCAATATGAACAAAAATCAACTCAGTAATACATACACTTGTGTTATGGCACTCACAATCCAAATAATTCTAAAAAGACAAAGAATTGCTAATTGTACACCGTACTGAAGAAAGTCTTGATGCATCATATTTCAAAGATGCTAGAGAGTTTTATCTGAAGAGGAAACCAAGCCAACAGTGTATCAATCAGCAGTGTATTAACTTTGCCTTATAATGGGTCAAACAAGAACAGTTTTAAATGCATCTGATAGAAAATGATCAGAAGGCACTTTGTCAGGAAAAATAAAAGGTATGCCCTGCACATTTTCTTTAAAATCCCATATTTAAAATGAAATTTCTGTGTACTGATGCAGAACTCAAAAAAAAAAAAAAAAAAAACCTCAAATGAAAAGAACAGCTTCAAACTAAGCAAAAACTGGCTAAAGAAATAAATTCTAATTTATTGTTAGGTCAACAAAGGAATATGGAAGAGGAAGAAAAAGTGACAGGGATCAAGTCAGGCAAAATTCTTACAGATATCTGGATAAAGGCAGAAAAATGCAAAGAATGGTGAGCTGCAAGAAGCTGGAGAAACAGCAAAGACCTAAATTAGCATTTTAATAGAGTACTAAGAATGAACTGTAACATAGGATTTGTGTTCTGTCTGAAGTTAAGTGGAAGGAAGCAGCCAAAAGTCTGAGATGCATCACAACAATAAAGGCATCATCATCATGAATGATTAAAGAAGATGACAGAGGAGGCTCTGGAAAGGAATAGTTGGACATGATGTAGCTAAACAGAGAGCAGAAGTTCCTGGAAAGAGGCAATGACACTTTACTGAGAAATGCACAGATACAAGATTTATTTTTATGCCTAGCAATAAGTCTAGACATTTGCACCATGGAGGTGGTGGCCCTGACCACAGGGCTGGCAGTTATCTGCCCTAGAAGGATGTTGTGAAAAGACTCATGCAAATTCAGAGAATCACCACAGCTTCCTGGTCTGTTCAGAAAAAAAGGCAGACAAAGTTGTGTAAACTGAATTTTGAGAACTACTGTATAAAATGCAACACAGCAAAGGTGGTTGAACTACACACAGTCTAGGGCAGAATACATTAAAGCAAACTATAATCCTAAAATCTGTAATACTATTTGGTCTTCACACAGGCTGAATTTCCTTCAAAATTTCCTTCAAGCACATAAAATAAATCAACTGAAAACTACTACTTTTTTTTTTCCATCAAAATAGCTATGACAGGCTTTCCTGGGGTACCAAGGTGGCAATTAGAATTCTTCTGGACTCTAGACTATTCAAAACCACAAAATTCAGAATTACTATTCTGATAGAAAAATATTTGAGAGACAATAGCACTTAAATGAAAGATGACATATTTCACACACACATGATATATTTTCAATTATAATTTTATTTCTCTAAGTTTTCAAATGGATAAACAATTCATGGGACTACATTCAAACCAAGATCTGAAAGTTTACTAGTCATACAAATTAACTATTTAATTCTTTGACATTCCCAATTTCCACGACCCTGTCAGGTTTGGTCTTCGTCACTCTCCAAGTACCATCAAAACACAGGCAGATTTTTACCTGCTGTTCTGAACAAAAGGATCACCTCTGGAAGAAGAAAAAGTAATAGAATCACAATATTCCAGTCAGCTACCTGGTAAACAAATTTAAGTCTGTTTTCAACATAAATATAACTCTTTTTTTTTTTTTAACCTATTTTAATTGAAATGAAATCTATGATCAGTCAACTGAGGATCATGGACAGGGCCTGCGGAGAAGACTCCAACTTCAGGTGGGATAACAAAAGAAAATTCTTATAGAAAAGCCTATGATAAAGACAAGTTTATGGCAAACCTGAAAGCATTAGTGAATAAATTTTATTATTAATCTGATAACTTCTGTAGTTAAGCTCAAAGATATGTCAAAGAAAGTTATTCAAACAAAAGATAATATACATATTTTGGTTAAATCTGGCTTAATCGTTAAGAAGCAAAAAATAAATGTGATGACACATAATGATCTAGCAAATATTACAGATTTTAAATACTATTATTCAATGCATTTTATAAAATTCAGTTAAGATAACTTTATTGAGTTAATATTAAGTTAAATCTAAAATTAAAGTAGATCTTACTATGAATCAGTTCTAAAATTTAGAATATTATACTGGATATTATACATTTCTTTGGGGAAATGCTCAAGATACTACCAACTCTTCAAAGAAAACTGGCCCAGAAGGCTAATGAATTACCTGTAAGTAAAATATGATGGAATCACTGAGTTGGAAATAACTTTAAAGCTTTCAGTCTTTTGTTTGCTAGCTCTCAGTGACCTCACTGGCATTAGGTGTTTTATGTAATTGGAATTAGGTGAAAACACACAGCATAATAAATAATCAATAGATACATTACAAGTTCTTTATGGTGAAACTGCTGAAACTGATGGTTGTTCTTTCTGAAATACAAATTTGTTTTAGAGCCCCTAGGAAACTGAAATCCACATTAGCGTATTAGACAGATGAATTTCAGGCTGAATGATAACACAGACACCAACCAGCATCACATCCAACCAAAACAAATTGTAAGTAGATTGGCTAAAATGGGAGAGAGCCGTGCTGCCCCTGCCCTAAATGCTAACATAATTTTTCTGGGAGGAAAAAAAAAAAAGAAGGGGGGAGGGGAAATAGAATAAATCCTTCAATCCTGCAATACCTCTACTATGTAATAATGATATTTTTTTAACAAGCAAAAAAAAAAAAAGTATAAATGTTCTTTAAAACTGCAATCTAAGTGAAAGTGCTTGTATTCTTAAAGCTGCACAGGAACAATTCAGTTAAACATGCCTATTTATGATGCAAAAATAAATAATTCATTTTTCCCTTATAATAAAGGTTTTTTTCTTTTACCATTTAAATAAAATATGCAATAAGGTCATTTTAGCAGATGCTTTCAGAACAGAATGAAATTATATCCATAGTAGAATTTTGGATGCTGATGCACAAGCATGTGTAATTCTTCAAAATCACCACTGTATTTTCTCAAACTATTAGTTTGTTAGATAACTCAACCTCCCTCCACTGCCTCATTTACTGGTAGAACAAACCCATATTTGCTAAATTTACAAATAGTATTTTAAACTGCAACTTCCCCCCAAAAAACTATAGTAAGAGGTATATTGTTAACTACATTTGTAATACATTAGTTTATCACAGACTTCTCAGTTGCTGTTTCCACTTATGAAACATCTAATTAGCTAAATAGTTTTATTTGTTCAACTCAAATAGTAATTAGCAATTTCAATAGAATCTTTTATAACAATTAAATATAATAGCAAATTATTTATCCATTCAGCTTAAATACAGCTTCTGAAAATAAAGGATGTTGTTTATGTTCATCAGGGCACTTTTATTTGTTCACTTTGTATCAAAATAGCATATATTTAAGTTGTAACAATGAATGTCCTTGAATATGATATTGAACAAAGAATGTCCATTCAGTAACATACTATGCTTTTGTTGGAAAACAGCTAATCATATTAGTAAAAGTCTATCATGAAGGAAAAGAGGGGGAAAAAAAAAAAAAAAACTGTGTACTTGACCACACTCTGTACAGTAGATAGAGACTGAAATCCAGTTCAGTTTGCATAAACCAAGTTTAGTAAAGTCCTTTGCCTGATTTCAGAAACAATGCCTAGGACAAATACGGCCATATCAATGTAAGGCATATGGATTAATCAGTGATTCCCACATAGGAAGAAAAGTAACATAGTAACATTAACTGTGTTTAATATCATGTGTAACTATAATATTTATTGTATGGCTATAATTTTTAATCAAAACAGTACAGACTTGACATATGAGGAAAACTTACATATAAGCAATTTGCTCTACATATGAGGAAAACCAATTTCACCATTTTTTATTTAGTTACACTATCTCAAGCTATTTGTAACTGAAACCTCAAATTTATTATATTGCTTTAACTTCAAATCTCTAAGCTACTAAATTCTGTTTTTTTTTTTAATTGCTTAAACACAAGCAATTGCATGTCAGTTTAATAACATGCATTTAAATTTGTTTAGAACTGCAAAAAGATTTCAGGCAATACCAAAAATGTCCTTAGGTTTCGTGGTTTGCTTTTGCATATTCTCAAGAGTATTTCTCTTATGCTATCATTAAAAACAAATGGTTGTTTTTAGGTTACTGTTATTGCAATGCTGCAATATTATTGATGCTAAGCTTCTGTGATACAACATACTACAAACCTGCCACGATTGTGTACCACAGTCTTACTTATACCAAAACCTCTTTCTGGGGACAGTAAATTTAATATGCAGTATCAACTAGATGAAAATCAAACTACTTCATTTTTTCTTCCAGGCTTCAGTGCTGTTTTTCCTTGGACTATTAAGATTTACAGCAAAGGGTTACAAAGTATTGCACAGGCCCAAGGGTAACATCAACAAATCGCTGGGAATGAGGGACTTAATTCCTCTAAGGTCAAAACTCTCATACTGTGGATGTTTACACTGACTCTTTAATTGTATCAAAAAATGTTTCTGGAAAAGCTGAAAGCATTTCCATAGCATGGGGTTTGCCAGGTGACTGCCTTAGCTTTGCAACCCATTACACCACAGCAGGTGTTTCTCACCTTGAAAGATACAAAGGTATCAGTTTCTAATTACACACACCAAGACTACTGTCCAGGGCTTATTTCCTCTTTCAGCCTAAATGTTGTAAAAGTTGCCTCAATTAAAAGCAAGAGAAAAACAAGAGAGAAAAAATAAGCATCTCATGCACTCTCAATATAAGTACAGAGAAAGCAAGCAAGCAGGGCAGTTGCTCTTTAAATCTCCCCACTTCACTTTTTGCAAGTTTCAGATATTTTAGCTCAAACTTTTTTACTTTCTATCCAACTTCTAATTTAAGTTGCATATACACTCCAAAAAAGTAAAGAAACTCTTAGCTTTTTTTCCCCCTTAAATAGCATTTAACTTTAATCTCTACATTTGTCAGCTCTGACATATATGTAAAGTTTCTTGAAATTATTTTTGTAAGTTTGTTCAACTTTTGTTTATACAGACTGCTTTTAGACCAGCGTATTTTACAGGGCATTCTCTCTCTCTCTCTCTCTCTCTCTTTTTTTTTTTTTAATTTTATTGCTCCTTTGAAGAATGTTAGTAATGTAACACTTCAACTGAAACAAGGCTAATGCCCATCCAAAAAGTTACACTGGCGTAACAAGGTGTCTTTGTATGTCAGTAGAGCCTCCTAATCGAGAAGCATGTGTTATGTCAGCAATATCACATCACTTAAAATTTTTATCTTGGTTTGTTTCTTTAGTATGAGACCATTCTATGGTCCTCATATGCACACTCACCAAATCATTAGAAAGCATCTGAGAAACATGTTTTCTGTTGTTTTGTTGTCTTGATATATTTAAAAGTTTCTGAATCTGATTCCATGAAAACATTCCTGGACCACACGCATGCAACCACATGCTCCCATCTTAGCTGCTCTTCCCCTCCACTTGGCAGCAAACACCCAAGCAGTCATTAGGATGGACTATGCCCATTATTTCCCCAGGTAAGTATGTGTTTGGGGGTAAGAAGTTTAGGAAGAAGGGACTGCACTTGGCTGACGAAGGACAAGTGTTCACAGATACGTTGGATTATTATACTCACCTGGGGGCAGATGGGCAGTGCTGTTCTGTATTGCAGGAGATACCTACCTTACCTGGCTGCAAGTGGCCCTGAAGATGCTGGTGGCAAGAAAGCACCCGGGACGTCTGCGCCCCTTCTCTGGGGGCAGGACTGTGCCCACTCCTGCCTCTCGTTTAGTGTGGGGGATACTTACCCGTCGGGGATAGTATTCTTCTTTACCATGCTGAAAGCAGGAGCAGGCACAGCAGGAGGCAGCGGTGAAAGTGGGCACTGCAGCAAAGGAGAGAGAACCGCGCAGTTAAGGTGCTGATCTCCTTCTCCATCACATGGGCCTTCTCCCGAGGCTCATTCTCAAGGTAAAACAAAGCAAGCGGCCAGCGGGGGCTTGACACCATCCTGAGCAAGTTTTGCCGCCCGCAAATAGCCAACGTTCTGCTCTGCTGCTAGAGTAGGACAAGAGGGAAAGACAACTCACCTCCCCCCTCCAGGAGACCACCAGGCACCGAGAGGAGAGGCGGCCCCGTCCTGCCCTCGAGCTACCGCAGCTACGGCTCCGGTCTCAACGAGAGGCGGCTCCGGGCAGCTGCAAGAGGCCAGGCCGGGCACCTCAGCGCGGGAGGCCGCTCGCCACCTGCCCCGCTCTAACCGCGGCCGCTCCGGCCCCGCGGGGTCCCGGCCGCTGTCGGCACCTGCCGCTCGCGGTGGGCCCGAGGCGGGGAGGGGAAGGGCGAGGGGGGCCATGTCGGCCGCTCCGGAAAAGATGCTGGAGGCTGGAGTGCGAGTCCCCGTCTCAGGGCCGCATGTTCCCCGGGGCCCCGGCAGGGCCACCTCCGAGGCCGGCGCGGCGCTCCCCCGCAGCGGGAGGCGGCGGCAGGGCTCGGGCGGGGGCGGGAGGAGGAGGTTGCGGCGCCGCTGCAAGGGGCCGGGCGGAGCGGGGCGGGGAGGAGCGGCGCGGGGCTGGGGCGGCCCGTACCCTCACGGCATTTCCCGTGCGGAGGAACGTTGGGGAGAGCCGGGCGGCAACGAACGTTCCCGAACGGACGCGCACTGCGCGTGCGCGGCCCGCGAGCCGGCGGGCAGCACTGCGCCTGCTCAGCAGGAGCGGGGCCAGGAGCGCAGCGCGCCTGCGCGGCCGCCGCCGCTCGACCACGTGGTGGGGAAGGTGGGGGGGAGCTACTGGGAGCGCGCTGGCCAATAAAAAAGCCTTCCGTTGTGCGCGTGCGCAGTGAGCGGCCAGGCAGGGCGGTGCAAGCCGAGGTGCGCATGCGCGCTGGGCGCGTTATGCGGTGGGTGGCTAGCGCGCATGCGTAGTGGGTGTTGGTAGTAGCAGTTTCGCTATGGCGGGCGGGCTGTGGAGGTGGCGCGACCGCCGCTCTCCGCGCTCGGCGGGAGGTTTCTGGTGCCGGCAGTCCCGGCGACTCCAGTTTGGCTGTGCGGTGGGGCCGGAGCTGTGGAGGGACCCCCGGCGAGCAAGCGAGCTGCGTGGTGAAGAGAAGCCGGTCACCTCTCGCCCCGCGAGATGTCCCACAGCCGCGGCTCGGGGGGGGGCCCGCCGGCCGCTCCCCCGCGTGGGGGCCTTGTGCGCTTACCAGCCGCTGTGCGGCGGGGCGAGGGGAGGCCTCCCCTGCTGCTCGTTGAGGGTGGAAGGCGGGTGTGTGGTGCCGCACCCCCGCTCCCCCTGCAGATGACTGACAAAATGGAGACACTTACTTGATGGTGTTTCGACATTTGGCTTTCAGTGCTGCTGTTTATGGTCCTTGGCTGCTAAGAACACTGAAGTATTGCACAGGGGCCATAGCATATTGTTTGCTGTTTTTAGAGAGAAGTGTGTTGCAGGGAAATGGATGGAAATGTTTGCAGATGGAAATGGACGTTTTGTTGTCAGAAGTGTACTCTGAAGAGCCTGTTGGATTTGTTGTATTTCAGTCTTCTAACTATATTGCAATTTTTAGATCCCTCTATTAAAAAGGACTTTCCACCCCCCCCCTAATATGTATATATATTGCTTTTTACTGTAGCTTTTCTTGTTTGTCTTGTTCTAAAGCACGGACCCCAAATGTGTTCCACTTGGCTTCATCACTACTGTTTAGATGCACAGTGCCTCTGTGCTTACATTATTACTGTTTATACAGTGGAGGACTATACCTGTTTTTCTTTCTCCTGTATACACTTACATGGAATCTTATTTACACTGACCTCTAGATGACTTTCATAGCGATAAATTTCTTCCTATTACCTTTTGTTAGGCCTAGAATACATTTGTTTTGTCCTTTGTGTTAATTAAAAAAAAAAAAAGAATTTTTCTATGTTTTCTATTTTCTTACCTGATGTGTAGCACTTGTACAGTCAACTTCCAATATGATTTACCATTCTTGAATCACATTTGTTCTGTTACTTGTACAGTTTCTTTTTGGTATTTTGTGTTTTCTTTAATTGATGAAAAAAGTAAAATTTGCCACTGTATATGTTAAGCCTTTTTATCTATAGGTTACAAAGGACTCTTTCAGTTCAAATTGAATTCTCATTCGAATTCTCTCACTCAATACAACTTAGACACAGTTTTGTGGTGGCAGTTAACTGTGCTTTCCAGTGGTTCTGCGTTCCCAGAGCCTGTGTTCAAGCATGGTGTTTCTTGATTTGCTGTCACTTAAGGATACCATTGGATACTATTTATTCAATCCCTGCTGCTATTGTATCTCCTTCATGGAGGCAGTGCCAAATTCTTTCCAAACTAGATATTTTGAAATCCTTAATCAGCAAAGTGAAGAACACAAATTCAAAACAGCTAATCATATTCCTTGCTTATGCAGTAATAACCTGATTTATTTTTGTTTAAAATATCCTTGTTTGGTTTGTTTGATAATTCCTCCTGCCCTGACCCATGCTACTATGAATTGGTGTCCGTGGGTGGCAGCCAGAATATCTGGCAGTGCTGAAAGGGTGCTCTGAAAACTGAAACCAGTGGACTTGCAGGGAAGCAGCTGTTGTCAACTTGGCCATCATAATTTGCGTATTAATAATGTATTTTGAAATGTCCTTGACACTTTTTCAGATAACATAGAGCATATATAGCAAATGTTTAATGCAAATGTTATCAGTTCTGTTTCTTCTTTTCTCTGTAATACTTATTTCCTCAAAGAGTTGCTCCAGTCCGGGAATAAGTGCTTGCCAGAATTTTGGAGCTTACAGTAGTTTAGAGTTTAACAGAAGTGGTTTATGTATAGTTTATGGCTTGTGTATTTGCTAATTTCATGCTTTTCATATTAATTAGTGTAATGCTATAACTTATACCTGTTAACTTGATTTTGTATATCCATTTTTACCTTAACTCTTGTGTTTTTTGATCTTGGGTGTAGTTGTTAAGTGTTAGGCACACTCTGAAATTTTTAATTGTTCTTTGACGTGTGGGATTTGAAGATTCCTTCTAATTGAATAAAACTCTTTGAGATGTTAAGTAGAATGGAGAAGTGCATTATGCAAACATCCGAAAGTAGCTTTGCCCCTATAGATCTGTAATAGTTCTTGCTTTGTTTTTGGATGTTGGTGGTTGCGAGTTTCAGTGCAGCTGAGAGCAGAATCTAGCTCTTGTGAAGGGAGAACTTGTACCCATTTGTCTTCTATTTTGAAAAGAACACATTTCAGACTGTGAATGGTTTGAGAGAGGTTTGTGACTAGGTGACATTGTTAGAATGAAGGAAAATACCTAGTCGCAGCTGAGGTTTCCTGCAGCCCAGTTAACTACATTGGGTAACTCTGCAGTGTTTTCAACAAGAACAATTTGCAGGAGCCTTCTAAGCTACAGCTGTGGTGTCTCACTGTAATGGTTCTGGCTTCCTGCTTAGTTTAGCATTAGAAATGCTGCTTTGAATGTGATACTGACAACCAGTTAACTGTTGCAAAAAAATCCTTTTTCTCTCTCTATATTGGTTTTCAGTAAAGCTAGAAGCTCTCATCTTTAGTCTTATGTTGTTTGTTATTTTGCTAACCGGTTGTATGTTGTCATTGTAAATCTGAAATGGTGCAACTCAGCAAAAACACTTTACTGTTTTCATTTTATGCAGTGCTAGCATCTGTTCAGCAGAAACTTAGCTGAAAATGGGCTTTGCTTTATGTGAGTTCGAGCGATAGCCACCAGAGGGCACAAACTACATGGCCGGGACTGGGCCCTAGGAAGGTCTCAATTTCCTTTTCCAGCTCTTATGGCCTAGTAACATAGTGATTCTCTTCTAATGTGAAATCAAAGCATCAACTAACCTGTAAAGCAGTGGTATTAAATCTTATATAAAAAATGAGTATTTCTTCATAAATTACTGAATATAAATATTGACAGAAGCTGATCAACTAGTTAACATGGAAAGCATGTATGGGAATTTGCTCTTTATACTAAAAGCTCAAAACCTTTTCCTAACTTATTTGCATAGCTCACTGAGGGCAGTGAGTATATTGGTAGATTGCAAATAGGAGAAAAAAAAAACTTGAAAAACAGAATCTTCAGGAAGGTAGATAAAAACAATGATTTACACACTTCCTGTTATTGTGCGGCAAAACTTAACCAGTCAGTCAGGAGTGTATTAATCTTTATTGTTCTGTGCTTGCATTGAATAGTCCCGCTGAACGTGGTGGCACTTCCCATGCTGTAAGGCAGAGGTTTCTGAATTTAACTTCCTCCTGCTCACTTAACCAGTAGTGATGCCAGCTCCAGGGAGTGTGCAAGGAGCCTCCAAACCTCTGTTTGTGCTTCCACTGCTCACGTGAAACCCATGGTGTTCTGCTTTCCAGCCTCACCACCGCTTCTCTTGCTTCCAAGTGAGGTTCTCAACCTCAAGGTAGCTCCAACTTCTGCCATCGGTGACCAAAAAATGCAGAGTGGTGCAAAGTCCCTTTCACAGAAGGGAGCTACCCTTAAGCCAGATGACTGCTACCATCCTCAAATAAGCTACCACCAGGTTTAGTGACTGTAATGGGCTTCAGGATGTTCTGCCTTGTTAGTCTTGGTTTTTGGTAGGAAATAACTTGAGAAGTGTGATCTCAGTATTTGCAGTTGTTTAGAGCTAGCTTCTATTGCGAATATTTAAGTCATGGAAAACCTAAATTTCAAAACTATGCTTAAGATTTGTATTGGCCTTGTTAATTAAAAGAATATTTTGGTATAGTAAAATTTTATCTCTTTGGAAATTGTTCTGGAATTTATATTTCAAGCCTGGAATTTACACTATGGAAATTAACCTGTGGAGATATTTCAGTGGTCTGTGTACTGGTGTATATTGTAAGTAAATAGTTTTTCCAAGTGCACGTAACATGTTTAATTTAGCTATTTCCAATAGATTATGCTTGTTTAAATAGAGAACTAGCAGCTAATGATAAAAGTAGGTCATGCTTTTTAGCATTCATGCCTTTTCAGCTAGTGTTGGATCAGCCTTTCAGTTGTCCTATTTTTCCTTATGGGAAGTGTTTTAAAAGCAGCATTAAAATAATAGAGAATAGTTGATGTCATGTTGAGCAGAGTACTGTTTAGGTTATTAAACAGA